TGTCCCTTTCCTCGGGCCCTCAGCGCGGTGTAACCAGGCTTGTTACCGAGCGGCTGGTCTGCCTAACCTCCCTCCCCAGCCTGCGAGGTCCTCGAGGGCAGGCGGTGGCCTCTGCAGTTCGCCCTGGCTCACAGGCAGGGGCCGGCCCAGGCCGCGGAGACCCGATGCAACCAGTGAGCACTGGCCTGCTCTGGCTTCAGAATGCCAGCCCGGGCTCTGTGCTCCCCAGGAGGGACTCCCCGCCCCACCGAATGTAATCAGATGTGCCCTCTGCCTGCCAGAGGGAACGCCCCCGGCAGCACAGAGGAGACGGCAGCATGGAGATCGTACTTTTCGAGCCGCTTCACAATATCCTCCACAAATATATAAAGGTCACCCCAGTTGTTGTTCACGCTGCCTGACCTGAAAACAGAGAAGACATAAGTCAGGATGCTGATGTGCTTCCATCGGGTTGGCAGAATTTCTGCTGTCCCCAGCCACACAGCAGGCTCTTTAACAAGCCCACCCCACCTCAACACAGCTGAGGGCTGGGCACACCCTCAGTGATCACCCCGGTCATCCCGGGTGGGGACTTCCATCAGTTGAGTGGTCTGTCTAGCATGATGGTCCAGACCTGCCTTCCTGGGACTGAGGGGCTTCCTGGGATGAGGGACATTTGGTGGCTAACCAGGATAGCTGGTCAAGCTATGTGGGGGCTGTGTGAACAAGAAATGGGTAAGGATTATTTGATTGGAAAAGGCCCTAATAAATAATCCAAACCTAAATTAAGAAAAAAATTCCATTTATAAAGGCATCAAACAGAAGAAAATATTTAGGAATAAATTTAACCTAAGAGACAAAAGAAATGTATACTGAAAACTATAGGACATTGCTGAAAGAATTTAAAGACACAAATAAATGGAAAGACATTACATGTTTATGAATTGGAAGACATAAGATTGTTTAGATGACAATGTAATCTGTATCAAAATCACAACAGTATTTTCTTGCAGAAACAGAAAATCTATCCTAAATTTCATATGGAATCACAAGGGACCTTAAATAGCCACATAAACAAAAAAATCTCAAAAAAAAAATAACAGAGCGGTGAACTCACATTCTCTGATTTCAGAATTTATTGCAAAGCTACAGTGATCAGAACTGTGTGGTACTGTAAGGAGTACTGTCACATGTACCAATGAACAGAACAGAGGGTCCAGAAATAAACCCTCACATCTATGCTCAGTTGACTTTCCATCATTGTCCCTGGAGTGATCAACGCGCAAAAAGGACAGTAGTTTCAACAAATGGTGCTGGGAAAACTCCGTGTCCACATGTGAAAGAACGAAGTTGGACTGTTCCCTACATCATCACAGAAGTTAACTCAAAATGCACCAAAGACCTAAATATAAAGCCTAAAACTTTTAAACTCTTGGTAGAAAATATAGGGGAAACCGTAACATTGGATTTAGTAATGATTTTTTTTGATATGACACCATGACCACAGGCAACAAAAGAAAAAATAGCAAAACTGGACTTGATCCAAATTAAAAACTTTTGTGCGTCCATGGACACTACAGAGAGAGTGAGACACACCTGCAGAACGGAGACAAAATTTGCAAATCATGCATCTGCCAAGGAATTAATATCCAGAATATACAAAGAACTCCTACAGCAAGAACAAAAAAGAAACAACAAACAAAAAATGGGCAAAAGACATTTCTCCAAAGAAAAAATACAAATCGCCAATAAGCACATGTGCTCAAAAGGAAGGATGCAGCATCACTAGTCATTGAAGAAGTGCAAATCAAAGCTACCCTGAGAAAGCACTCTGTATGCATTGGGATGGCTATTATCAAAAAAACTGAAAATAACAAGTGTTGGAGAGGCTGTGAAGAAATTGGACCCATTGCGCTTTGATGGTGGGAATGTAAAGTGGCGCGTCCACTGTGGGAATTAGTTCAGAAGTTCCTCAGAAAGCGGACACAGCCATATGATCGTCAATCCCACTCCTAGGTACGTTCCCAAAAAAAGTGACGGCAGGGACTCAAACAGATAGATGTATGTCAGTGTTCACAGCAGCATTGTTCACAATAGCCAAACGGCAGAAACAACCCAAGTAAGTGTCCATCCATCCATAGATGGATGGATTAAAAAAATGTGGTATATTACGTACAGTGGAATATTATTCAGCCATAAAAGGAATGAAATTCTGATAGATGCTACAACACAAACGAATCTTGAAAACATTATGTTAAGTGAAACCAGCCAGACACAAAAGGCCAAATATCATACAATTCCCATTACAAGAGATACTTACGCTAGACAAATTCATGGATACGGAAAACAGAATAGAGGTTACCAGGGCTTCGAGAGAGAGGAGTGGTGAATTATTGTTCAATGGGAACGGAACGTCAGTATTTAATGATGAGAAAGTGCTACAGATGGATGGCGGTGGTTACACTACACTGTGAATGTACTTAATGCCACTGAATTGTACACTTAAAGGTGGTTAAAATGGTAAATTTTTGTCATGTATATTCTATCACAGTTTTTAAAATCACTAAACAAATAGCATGGACTCATTCATTTTCTTCCAGTTCAGTGAAATGAATGAACAACTCAATAAGAAATCTCGTAAATAAGATGGGCTCAAATGGCCAAAGAGCCTTCCTGTAGGT